CATTCGATATTTCGGCGTCAAGGATCCACAAAACATGGTTTCAGGCTACACTACGTGATAGAAGATTTTTTTCTAAATTTAGCCACTAGATTTATCCACTTTTTCGTTACCAGGGCGTTCGTAGCGAGATAGTAAAAACTCATACGCCTGCTTTTGTACACAAGGTAACACACATATCAATGCACAGAACTATTTCCAGATATTTTCAAAACAAGAAAAATTAAGCATATTTTTTTAAAAGAGACAATAAAAATGAAATTAAAAATTATTGGCAAATTTTTCTTTCGTCAGTTTTCTCAAAAATATTTTGAGAGAGTATAAAGAGAATTATCTATATATAAATTAAAACTTGTCTCAGAAAGAAACGAAGCTTTTTCAGACTCTCAATATGGATTTAGAAAAGCAAAAGCTATGGTATCGACAATTTGTTTTTTTGGGGGGGGGGGTTAAAGATGTTGCTTTATCGGTGAGTCAATTTTTTGCATCTTTTCAAAGCTTTCGATGTCAATGGCCATAACAATGTTTTCAACATTACCTTTATATCAAATTCGATTTGCCCCAGATTGGATATCCTCGTACCGTAAACATCGATCACAAAGAGTAGAAATACCGTACCTAGAAGAAAGAAGATTATTTACACATCTTTCATTTTTTTGTCTATTAAGCATTGGGTCCCGCAGGGTTCGATCTTATGCCTATCCTTTCTTTTTACGTAAATGAGATGCCTCGTTCATTGGAAACGGAAGAGCAGTTGTTTGCTGATGACGTAAACGTTCTTTGGAAACGAGAGACAATAAATAGAACGATTTCAGATGTTACAAATTGGTTTCGTCGTAACAAATTAATAGAGAATGGAGGGAAAATTTCAATAATTTGCAGCTTCATATTTCAAATAAACAATCGCATGCACCCTAGAAAATGAACAATATGCAATTCGCTGATGGGTAACAAACTGCCTGGGACTCTCAATTCAGTCAAACCTCAAATGGAATATTGTTCATTCGGGATCTCATACGTCCCAGTTTCTCCGGAACAGTCCCTGATTTTATAACAGACAAGAAACAAATTGAGAGTTTGACTTGATTTCATTTAATTTATCATAATTACACGTCCTATAAAAACACATAATTTCACGCCTTATTTGTAAATCCTTCGTAATATTATAATACAACATAAACCTGTAAAAGTTTTTCCAATCAGCGGGAATATTTTTCCGTGCTGAGAATCGAACTTGGGATCTTAAAGTGAACACGCCATTCACGTTAGCAAAACCCAACATACACTGTATAAACGACTCAACCTTCCTAATACGATAAAACGAGATTGCATTAGCAATTTCCAAATTTTCAGATATTTTCATTATTTCATTATCTCATTAAAAAAACATTAATGTAAAAAATTCCCTATAATCAATATTGTACGATAGCGACCAGCGATTATCCGGGGTTTGTGCAACCGTGCAACCTACGATGAGTCGCGATTGGTATGAATTTTCCACCAATCGTAAATTCTGACTCACAATTTTCTATATACATTAAATATCATACACTTACCACTTAAAGTCGTGGTAACTAAGCAATTCCTAGTCATTTTAGGATCCCATGGGTTCCCTAGACTTCTCCATGGAACCATAAAGTTTGCTTTCCTGCATTTAATACTCCTAGCAATGCTAATTGCTCCATCGCAATTTACAAATTGTGTGTATAGCTTAATACAGCTTCCGAGAGCAATTAACGATATAGTTAGTAGATCGTCTCGAGACGTGATCCCCAGGGTCTTGAGGAGGACTTGAGGGGGACCGTGGATCTTGGCATTGCCCGAGAGGGGCAACTGACAGGATTCTGGCGTTGGGCACTCCATGAAGTTGGGCTGCCAGGGGAATGACTAGTTTGTATTTTACCACCTTTTCTTCCCCTGCTTTCAGATGTTCCCCGGCTTTTTATTACCAGGTCAGATTTGAGTCTAACCCCTTCGGCAATGACGAAAGTGGCTTCCGTGGACACCACGGTGTCCGATTTCCGGACTATCTTCCCTTGATCTCGTCATGACAATTTATTTTGCTGGCTTCGTAATAATGAACCAGGACGTGATTCATGGTTTCTACCGTTGTATTGCACTTCCTGCAGTAAACATCCTCTCTGGGCCTTCCTCTACTAAGAGTAGTTTCATTGGCAGCGGTATTTAATCTCAATTGGAGTACAGTGATAAAAATAAAAGGTTTCAGAAAATTATAATATTTCATAAAGGCATTTCCAAACGGATCGTTTATATGCGCCTTAACCGGTCTCCCTTGGGATCCCAGCTTCTCCCAGGCAGCTACATCATCGGCGCATTTCTTCTTAATAAGTCTTATCTAAATCTTGTTCAGAATAGGGCCAGTTGAGTTGCAGTGTTTTGGCGGTCTTTTAATGTCCGTTGGTAGAAACTCGGACAGGAGCTCAACCATCTGCAAATAAGACCTGCAGATTTTTCTAATGGTAATCCTAGGTTCGGCGCTACCCTAGGAACGTGCTGGGCGAGCGAGTCGCAGCAATCCCAGTCCTACATCTCTTTCGGCCAAGTACAATAAGCTATCTGCAGTACTCATATGCAGATGTAGGAACTGTTTGACCGCCATTATCATTTGACCATAATAGTAAAAACTGAACATGCGCACTTGGATTTTCCATAAATTCAGATATTTTCATTTACGATGTAGTTTTAAAGAACGGATTTCATTAAGGGGAAATATACCTGTCATCCATGTTGCACAGCGAACCCTCTATGAAAACCACCCCCCCTCAACGACCGATTTTTTTGAAACGGCCACTGAAATCCATTTATTGTATGCAAATTAGACTACTCCTCGCTCCGACCATAGACTTGCCCCTTAATAACAATTTTTTTCGCTTACACCATTTAATATATTACTTACTGAAAAATTGCAAGTATACAGTACACCGTATTTTCAGTAGTTAAAATGAAAATGGTGTCGTAAAAATAACATTCGTGCGACATGTCCTGTGCCTCAGCTCCATTCTCGAGGAAATCGAGAGCAGATGGATCCGGAAAACCAGTAATAATAAACCTTGGCCACGGATATGGTATCACGGCTACTCGCTTCTTTTCAGTTTCACTCCTTTTAATAAGACGGCGGATATGAAAGAGACCTTAGGTTCAATTCTTTGAATTAACGGAACCTTTCGTACCTTCCTGGAAGAACATCTGGTGCGGTAGAATATCTTTGTTAGAAGACAGGGTTATCACCTTGTCCCCTAACACGCAAGAGTTCGGGGTGCGTCCAGCGATTCCCCAAGAGCTATCGCTTGAAGTTTTTTAAATTGCCAGAAATGCGAAGTTTTCAGCTCCGAAGACCTAGAATGTGTCATTCGTACACAAATTACATTAGGAGTATACACAAGTAAATGAAGGTCCGTTACCAATAGACAACTATTGGGAGAACTAAAACTGAAAATAATTTAAACGTTTCTAGGAAATTAATTTTACCCAAGAGAACGAGATAAAAATATTTTTAAATGCATCTAACAAATAGTAAAAAAAATATAAAAAGCCATTTATGTCAAAAAGGAAAAATAAGTCAGTATGTTTCATTATTCACAATTCGTGTTTTACACTGTACAATATTTTTCTTTTCTAATCATCCGATGACTAGTAATACGGGTCATTTACCATTAAAAAATCAGATTACTCCTCTTACATGACCTCCCTCTAAAATACAAATTTTCTTTTCATGAAACCAACAGTGGTTGCTTAACACGGGTTACACTGTACTTTTGTAATGTTTTTTTTGTAGCTACAATTAAAATGTACAAGGAGTTTATGTTTTATGTTATCTTTCTAAAACAAACTCCTCAGGGCATTGTGAAAGGGTAAAACAAAGGTGCTCCGCTGAAATCTCCTAGCTCTACTAATGGCAGTAATTACTCCATATTTGTAGTAGAAAGAAGTTACCATTTTGTAAAAAATCAATAAAGTTTAGTAAAATGTACCCCAACTTTAAAATTGTCCTCTAGAGTAGAGAAATTTCCCTTAATCCCTTATTCACTGTTCATACAAATATACAAACAATTACAATTTCGACTTGCAATCTGTTAAACAAGTTAAAATAATGGCACCATTTGGGGCATGTGACATGTCATTCGATGCATCTTGGTCTACTGGGGAACCAACAATTTTTTCCCAAATACTTCCAGGTCTTTCTCATATATTTTTTGGGGGGACTTCAAGCAACTCTTTCTCTCTCTATTTGAGGGGGAGGTACCTAAAATGTGTTTATCAAGGTTTTAAGGACCCTTCAAAGCTGATCAGTAGCTCATTTGATTCCTCGTGACAATATTTGTAACTAGAGCCTTCTAAAATATTCAGAAAGAATTCCAGAAAGAAAATGGAACCTAACAGAGGAAAGCTATGAATTACTATACTGTCTTTCCAGCATAACATGAATCATTACGACTCGATTTTTCCAATTGGTGATAATTAAACCATTTTGTAATGAAGAAAACCTTTCTAAAAGAATATTTCTTTTGATTTTGATATTTTCTTGTTACTTTTTATGACTGACAATGGAAAAGCCAGGTGATTATTAAGTTAAAAATTTCTTTAGCACATATAACTTTTCACATAGCATAGCACATATAATTTTTCAACACAAAAGTACCTACCAGAGATGCAATGCTATGTTAGAATTTGGGTGTACCATAAGAAGTTTTTAAGATATGTTAATTTTATACCATAGTTATTATCTGTAGTAGCATGCTGAAACTTTTAAAACTATTTACATTTTTAAACTACTCATAAAATAAATACATTTTTATTTATAATTGTAACATATGCTTTTATTTCCGTGACATACATATAACAACCTTATTCACAACATTTCAATTTTTCCAAACAATCATAAATGTTTATCTAAATAAAACAAGACTTTTACATTTGTATTATATACAAAGGTACAACGGAAGCCCAGCATGATTATATACTCAGTAAGTCAATTAAAGAATTTAATACAACCCATTTTGTAATATCTTTGATACCTGAAGCACAAACAAATTAACACTAAAATATATCTCTTCATTAGATAACTGCTCAGTACTGCAGAAAAATACATCTCGATGTAAAAGCAGGTCATCAGATATTTCATAATGAACACATTAACTGTTAGGCACATATCTTTTGAGTTCACACATGACTGAGATACAATAACATACAATTCAGCCAAAATGATTTTATATCTAAGAAATGAATTTCCTGTGAAATTGTCTCTTTTCATTTTTCATAAAAAAAACGATGCCTGATAAGGCACAATGAAATTTCAAAAATCAATTATTTCAAATGTTAAAATAAAATTTCAGTAATTAGCGAAAGTTGTTACAGAGATATTAACACATAATTGATAGGATTACTACAGAAGGAATGGAAAGTAACACATAGGAAAATACAAAATGAAAATGATGGGAGGTCACTATTCTTTGGTTTATTGTTTTAACGCACTTAAAAATAGAGGCAAAAATTACTCGTACTTTAAGGTCAAAATCCAGTACACAATTTTCATTCAAAATACTCTGCAACTGTGGACAAATATTACATTTTTTTCATTTTCAACAATTTTAGCCATGAATGAAGGTATAATGTATAACTCTGCATAATGAAAACACTTCATAACATTCTCTGAACTAATTTATTTCACCCAACTCTGAAATGGACATCCTTGAATCCAGTAATAATCCAGTAATGATCGAGTAATAAATTCTGAATATTAGACCAGTTAGAGAAGAGACATTATAAGATCATATGAAATTAATATTAAGTGCCTCTTCTTAGAAAGAACAGTGAATAGTTCTTGATGCATAGCACAGAACATTAGAAAAAAAGCTGAAACATACTTTGCAAAACAACTGCAGGAAGACTAATAGTTTCAAATGTTCCTAATGAAATTACTGCATCTCAGTTTCACATGATTTCGATCTTTCAGGTAAATTACAGCTTACTGTGTTCCCTTCATACATCTCTTTTTGGTATCATAAAAAAAATATACACTGGCAAGAAGATATTTTGTCATTTCACTGTACATAACAATGAACAGAAGCACTATTTGTACATGCAAAATTCTCTTCCACATTTTTGTGAAAAGAAAAGACTGGATAAAAGTTGATGAAGTACAAGAGACTAATTGTGTTCCCCAAGATTTAAAAAAAAAATTGAGCAGTAAGCTATAACTCATTTATGAAATATTGAATTTAATAATTTTCAATAACTGTTTTAAAACCAAGGAAATTTTTAAAAGAAGTTTTTAATAGAATATTTTGTTGGTAGGGATTTCACTATTATGGACTAATCACAGTTTTACATCATTTTCCTAGATAATTCGTTGAAATCCCATCACTAAATGTGATGTTTATCAATCATATTAAAACATGTTAGCCAAATAAAAAATGAAAAACAGTGCTGAACAAATAATTGATACGTCAGTATCATAGACACTTTTTTTGAGCATTTCAGCTTCTTGTACACCCATGTTTTGTCTGATGAAGTAATGCGAAATTTTTGTGGCACGATGAATCAAAATACCTCTTTCTGACCTTAGGCCAATAATTTTAAGTACACTTCATGCACCAGTAATGTTCCTATACACACCTAGCTGCAATAAGTATGCCCATCATCAATTCAACATCTTACGAATCATGTAATTTAGAATTCCTCCATTTCGGAAGTAGGTAACATCAACTTCTGTGTCAAACCTTAAAATAACTTGGAAACTGCGTCCACCATCAACCTGAGACACACAAAGGTAACTTGAAATTATAAATATATAAAGATATAAATACAAATAATTATAAAATATATTATTCTAATATGAGTGAAATAATGGGTAACAGTGGTAGTTGGCTTTTTGGTGATTCAGAAGATTAGGAATGCAATTTTTAAATTAATATTTATCCAATACTTATGATCCGTGAAGTTATGATCAACTAGAGTGGATCACACTTTTAGATGAACCAACTTTCCATGCCTTATAAATTGTATGCAATGGTGGGTAAAGAGTGGTAAAAAATTTGGATTATATTTCTACAAAACAATGTTATTAATCACCATGTCAATAACAACACTTCATTGCCCTCAAATATGTGAACCTTTGTGAATATAGTTTAGCACTGGAGAGGCAAAAATACAATGCTAAGATCAGAATTGTATAAAAAAAATCTACTGAAAAGCAAATATATCAATACTTGATCAAACATTTTTGTTATTTCACTAAAAAAAACAACAACAACAAACATTTAATTTGTTCAGGAGTCCAATTATGTAAAATAAAATGGCACAATATTGATATTAAATCAAAAACCTTTTTAGGAAATTAACAACATAAAATTATTGCTTATGAACCATTTAATGTTTATGGTGTAATGAAACCATCAATACACATGGCTCAAATTTAGGAGTATAAACACCATTTGCCAAATTTTACTACTTTCTTATCCTCTACATTCAAGGCACAATACCTACTTCCCAGTGACACACGTTTAAACAACAATAGAATATAGTGAATCTAATGAAAATTTCAAAAACATATACACACACACACATCAGGAAAACTTTGTGATTGTGGATTACTGCATCCAGATTGCCATGCAGGCCTGGTATTTATGATTAATGGACACACATGCACACACCGAAAAACCAACCAAAACTAGATAAGTGAAGGAATAACAGAAGAAGAGAGTGAATATAAATAATGAAGAGCAAGAAAAAACTGATGGGAAAAACAATGACACATACCGTCACTGTCAGTTGCTGCAGTGGGCGACAATTCTCTGGAATGTTAATTGTGAATTTCTCCTTGCCTGTCAAATTAAGACTTTCTGCAGTTTCTCCAGGCAAATACTGCAATGGGATGATACCCATGCCAACCAGGTTGGATCGATGAATGCGTTCGTATGATTCTGCTATTACTGCTTTAATGCCCTGTGGTAAAAATGGAAGGAAACATTAAATGACTATTTCGTATAAATACATATATTTTACAACATAAGGAACTTTATTCACTCATTCATTAGTATACCATGGTTTTTTTTAATTTCCTCCTTAAAATACTATATTTATGCTGAAAATTACACCAACACTTTCTTTTGAATAAACCATGAAAAATATCACAATGAAACAATTTTTTTTTTTCAATAACAGTTCAGCTTGGTGTTAAATGATCCTTGATATGCATAGCCACCCCAGCCACAGCTTTTACATTCACAGTAAGATCACAGTTTTAGTTTCTTGTACACTTTTATAAAGTTTCAAGAAATTTATATACTGCTGCAGAATGTGTTGAATTTTAGACAAAAACACATTTTATGGTTCCGACATTTAAACAGAATTCAGAATTTGAACAAACTTCGCAAGTTGCTGTACTACATTTATTCTGAACAATTTTAGATTTTTTCTTTAGTTACTAATGTAACACAGCACACTGTAAACTAACATACATGAAGACATTCTGAACAAAGTACAGGTACACTTGGCTGACTGATAATTGGATACCCCATCAATATACACAAATGGGGTAATTGGTAACATCTTCTGACACCAATATACAAATTATAACATTACTGACAAAATTCTACTATTTTATTAACTACATTTACAGCATACCAAAAGGTAAGGTCCTTTTGCAGCCCAATCTCTGGATGATCCAGATCCATAATCCTTTCCTACAAGAGCAATAAGAGGGATACCTTCCTGCTTGTACCTTTCGGCTGCATCAAAAACATCCATCTGAAAGACACAATATCGATCTTATATATTACATACAGCATTATTTTCATGAAGATTAGATTATTTAAAACAGCATTTTTCATCACGTTCTAGCAAACAGGACAGTTTCATGTGTTTAACATGGTTTGGAACTTGTTGATTGTACATTGCGCACGCACACACACACACACATAAATATAAATTTTAATTTGCTTTCAACTTCCAGTCATATTTTGTTTCCAAGCTTGTATATCTTGAAAAAACAGATTCTCAAAGGGTAGTAGTCACTAACAGTTGACAGATGTAGATAGTAATCAATTACCATCTTTACCAACCCATTAAACATCACAAAATGCAACATAAATTTCGAACCAGAAAAATTCTCTATAAAAGCAGGATATTTTATATGCCGGCGATTAATTTTGGAAAAGTCAAATGATAATATGGCTAGTTTTGTGGTTTATGAAAGTGAAAGAGAGTGCTAAATAATGTCTGTTAAGACCTGATATATACATAATGCCGTATTGCTCTGGGCAATTTTTCTTTGTATTTGAAATTCTATTTTTTTAATCAATTTACTTCACATTTAATAAAAATTATATTGTTATTGCCTTCAATATAGAGCTCTATGTATAATGAGTTCTATAACGTCTAAAATTTGGCTTTTAAATATGAATTTTAAGTAATTTTAATGTTGCTGGTCCACTGCTAGTAAGTCCAATAATTTTTCTTCCATCTTAAGCCACTAAACTGAAGAAAGCAGTTGTCTTTCTTAGATGAACTGGATTAAAATTGATCTCTCTTTTGAGTAACCTTCAGTAGACCCCTGGTCAGAGGACCTCACTTTGAAAACTACAGACCTAAACCATTAAAGAATTCAAATTTCCTCAATTATACAGAAAATGTAAGGTACAGAACTACTTATACTAGACAGAACTTACTGTATCACCAGAAGGAACATGCACAGTTCTAGGTCCAGGAGAACTCAAAAATTTATTTACAAGACGAATATTTGCAAAAGTACCCCGTGCCATAACAGCATCATTACCACGTCGTGAACCATAAGAATTGAACTGACGAGGGGTTAACCTGAAGAGAAAAAGCAGTTAAAACAATTCCAATAAAATGATATTCATGAAGAGAAAAGAAAAAGAAAAAGAAAAAGAAAAAAAAAAAAAAAAAAAAAAAAAAAAAAAAAAAAAAAAAAAAAAAAAAAAAAAAAAAACAACAACCTAACATACTAATTGCACTCACCCACGAGCAGAAAGATATCTTGCAGCAGGACTATTTCGAGCAATACTTCCTGCTGGGGAGATATGATCAGTTGTCACAGAGTCTCCCAAATTCAAAATTACATGTGCATTTTCAATTGGTTTAATAGGTGGGAGATCCTGTAATATATTACCAGAAAGAAGTCATAATTAGGTATGAAAACATCACAGTAGTGTTGAAAAGATCAATACAAATAATGCCAATGATCAATATAAATCATGCCTTTGTCATGGCCTCAAAAAATGGTGGATGTTTGATATAAGTTGATGCTGAATCCCAGGGATACAACTGTCCTTCCGGAGCTTCCAGTTCCCTCCAATTCTTGCTTCCATTCTGAATCTTTGAGTAGACTTCCCTGAACATTGCTGGAATAACGTACTGTTGTTCCACGGCCTGAATCTCCTTACGGAGTGGCCATATATCCCTCAAGAAAACAGGTTTTCCTTCAGAATTACAACCTACAAAACAAACCAATACAGTTGAGAAAAACTGCGCAAAATACAAGAACTATTACATCGTAAGAATTATTCAGTTTAAAAAATACAAAGACATGTGTAAATAATACACTACAATATTTCCGTAATTTTGCAAGGATTCATATTTTCCCATTTTCTTTTTAGATGGTCTTTCTGAATGGAAACCCTTACCCAAAGGTTCTGTTTCGAAATCAATGTCAATTCTGCCAGCAATGGCATATGCAATTACTAGTAATGGAGATGCCAGATAGTTAGCACGGGTGTGGGGGTGGATGCGACCTTCAAAATTTCTGTTTCCAGAAAGAACCCCACAGCACACCAGGTCATTCTGAAAAACAATTCATCATACATAAATAAATTTTTGCATAATTAATTGCCACACATCATTTCATTTTTTACTGATCACACATATGTATATATATCAGTACCTTTTCTATAGCTTCTACAATTGTCTCTGGGAGGGGTCCACTATTTCCTATACAAGTCATGCAGCCATATCCAACTACTTCAAAACCTAATGTTTTCAAATAAGGAATTACACCACTTTCTTCCAAATAATATGTGACAACACCTGAACCAGGCGATAAGCTTGTTTTTATATAAGGCGCCACAGTGAGTCCTGCCTCAACAGCCTTTTTAGCCAGAATACCTGAAAACAAAAAAATATACATAATATAATTTTGGCAATATACAAGCTAGCTTGTTTTGTGGCCGAATCATCTCAAGAGAGACAATTCTGAACATCATCACAAGCAAATTTCATGGCTTTTTATTGCTAGTGATTGTCTCAATTATAATTTAGCATTTTTCACAAGGTTAGCTTCTTAGAAATTCTATGAAGTAGGACATTTAGAGGCACAACATTACCTCTACAAAATTGAATAAACTATTCCACCAACTACATTTTCCTGCACTATCAGTCTGCAAGTGAGATTAAATTAAATTTAAAAACAGTGAAAATGAGAAGCAATAAAATCAGTCCTATCTAGAGACGGATCTAGGATTATTGCTAATTGATATACTAAATGACATTTGTTAGTATAGAAAATTAGTAAAAGCTATATTATTTAATATGTATCATTGACTTGGGGTGGCTGAAGTCCAATGATCCCCACCCCATAGATAAGGAAATTCACTTGCATTGGAAAAATTAGACCGAAGTTGAAATCTGTTTTAAATAAAATTCAGGATTATAGTGGTTACGCATAAACTTCAGAGGACAATGTAGATAGTTCATTGCCAATCAGTCCAACACAAAAATATGCACTAATCACAAGTGAAGAAGTAGAAAGATAATTTTCTTGCTAAACTATGATTTTAAATGATAAAAGACACACATTTCAGTCTCACAAAGAACAATAAGTGTATAAATAGGATGTAGTCTTTAAAGATGTAACCAATTCATTATTTATAATGAAACACTTTTCTTTGTTATGATTAATTATGTTTTAGAATTTTTTAAAATGTATCTTACCTGCACCCAACATCACACTAGGATTGCTAGTATTTGTACATGATGTGATGGCAGCAATTACCACTGAACCATGTTTCAGCACGTATTCCCGACCCTCAAAAATGAATGGAGATGCTGCAGCCAGTTTATCTTCAGGAAGGCCAAATCCTTTGAAGCCAACCTGAAACAAAAGAATAATCGACACTGTTGTAAACAATCCAGAACATGTAAGGTAACCAAAATATTTGATGACAGGCAGGTGAAAACCTCTATTCATATGATACCTCATTTAATATTCATTAATTGATGATTATTTAGTGTTTCTGGGCATGTCAACTAAGTTGATCATTTGGTTTTGTATGTGTATTGCACGCAACATTCTGGGAGGGAGGTAGCGGTGTTCTCTTCCATGCTGGAATGTCAGATCTGGCGCCAATGACAGTTTGAAGAAGGGATATCCCTCCAGGTACCACAGAGGGTCACCACCCCAGTCTGAACAAGCTCGTAACACCTGACATGTCAAGCAGAGTGTGTATGTGTGTGTGTGTGTGCGTGTCTCAATGTCAGTCTGTGTGCGTGTCTCTGTGTGTCTGTCTGTGTGCGCGTCTCTGTGTGTCTGTCTGTGTGCGCGTCTCTGTGTGTCTGT